TTAATGGTCAAAATATTTTATTATGAAAATTACATGGTCTTACAAAGTTTAAGTGTGTTTGATTCAGATACATTTTTAAAGTTTTGAATACTCAATTGCATCCAATAGTAAACTTCCTTCTTTTTTATTTCTAACAATTTCACATCGCCGTCACCTATCATAGTCTCAGTAGTTCAACCACATTAATAAGAGCTGTGCAGCCATCACCACGATCAATTCCAGGACATTTCTTCTGCCTTGTCTTCCTTGATGTTGGCTCCCCATTTCCTGTCAGGTCCCTTTGGCTCTATTGATTCAATTCTCTACAGCTTGTACCTAATGTGGATTTCACATACAGGAAATTGTACAAGATCAAGAGAACGGCCAGACAACCACACAGCAGAAGAGCTGGAGCAGTCACACATTGGGTCAAGAGGGAGCTCAATGACAAGGTGTCACGTTTTGACCTTAGTGCATCTGCAGTCTCCAGTCTGCATTGTGTGTACTCTGCCTGGTAGCGGGCCCCTCCCATCTCTGGTTCATCGTCGGAAGGGATTCACCAGAGGCTTCATCCACATGGAGCACCCTGCAAATGGGTCAACTCACCAGGCATTCTGTTCGGCTCCTGAACCTTAGCCCCCACCTGGGAGTGTGAAAAGAGGACTCCTAATCTCCAACCCTTGCAAACCTTGGCACCGTCATCAATTGTGTTAGGCAGGGTTCTCTGGAGAAACAAAACCAGGACGTTAGGATATATGTTAATACAGTGAGAAGTAATATGACAGCTAATTAGTCTACACAGCAGTACAGAGGGCTCAGTTCCACTCACTTTCAGTTAATATACTGGAAGCCCTTCAACTCCACCTGGGCTGCTGGTCCAAGGTCAAGGAAGCAGACCTTGGAGTTTTCCCTCAGGCAAGACGAGCAGTCTGCCTGGAGACAGCAAGGTGAGCCAGCAATAATCAAGTAGCCCGGGAGCTTAGTGAAGCAGGCCCTGTTGGGATCTCACATGGTGACAGGGTCCCCCAGCCTCAAGCTCAAGCAATGTATGCACCAGCAGCGTGGAGACACAGGTCTCGAAGGACCTCAAGCTCTAGCGATGCAATCCACGTGGCTTGACCTGGAACGATCACCAGGGAGGAAGAGGAAGATGGGATGCCCGCAGTCTTTATTTATCTGGGTTGTCCTCCTATCAAGCTGCAACCTGATTAAACTCCGCCCACACGTTCCTATTGGCCTAGTTGGCCCAGTCAACCTATCACATCAGTGCACATCTTACCATGGATTTTCCATATCCAGAGCTTGTGAGTTAATTCTCCATCCAGTGTTAATCCAGGACTCTTCCTTCTTCCCTGCCTTTTCTCTCATTTGATCACTGGTGATCTGCTACCACACAGGTAACACCCGGAAAACCCTGTGGGACGGTTCGTTCTTCTGTCTCCAGTCTTGCTTGGAATCAACTTACAGCACCCAACAATACTAATCAAAGGCAAACATTTTATGATGCCACTTAACACGACCCTCTAGACCAGGGAAGCATACGGAGACCCAAACCCCTTAGTGGTTGTCAGGCAACTGGAAGGGCAAAAGGGCTGCTGGTTAGGGAACACTGGAATTCCCATTAGTGAATGGAATGTCTCGGGAAAACGTGGTCAAGAGATAGTGGTGGTATTTTCACAGAGTTGGTGGAAAATTGGAATGGAAAGAGTGGGGTTTTTCACAAACTTTAAGCGTCCTCGTACACCAAAGGAGCCCTGGTGGGTTATGTGTTGGGCTGCATTAACCACGAGGTCAGCAGTTTGAAACCATCAGCAGCTCTGTACTTCCATACAGTTATAGTCTTAGAAACCCACAGTTCTACCCTGTCCTGTAAGATTGCTTTGAGTTGGAATTGACTTGATGGCTGAGTTTGGTTATTTTTTTTAAAAATCATACACCAACTCCACTGTTATTCTCATGCGAGCAGACTGCCACCGTATTCTCCCACAAAGTGGCTGGTGGGGTCAAACCTTTCCATTAGCAGCCATTTGCTTTAACCACTGCAAAACCAGGCCTCTTTGTCTGTTGTAGAAGAGTGAACCTGCCCTGAAATTAGTTTCTAGGCTGATGGAGACGTTTGCCCTTGAAGCACTTAAATTTAGCGTTGTTTCCACTTCAGCATTTATTACTTCCCCTTTTTAGCAAGCACAGGATACGGATGATTATGTAGCCCCTTGTGTTTGGATGACATAGTCATATTTGTGTGTCTTACTCATCTTTGCAATCCTAGTCCTGGGACAAGTGTCTAACACGTGGTGGGCACACACACCGCAACGATTGCCCATGAAAAATGTCTTTGTTGTGAGGAGACTTGCTATACGTGGTATGGAATGTTAGACGGAGTTTGTGTATTTGAACTCTCTTGACATCCCGCCTGCGTTCCACCAGCCTATAAATTATCTGCCTGTTAGAAAATAGTGATGGAATCTGAAGCCTCAGGGTAGCCGATGATCTCATTTATTTTCAACGACTGAATTTGCCACCTTGAATCTAGGTATATTGTCACCCACTGCCTTTTTTTTGATCATGGGTGTCCGAGAGAGACAGGACTAGCTGGGCAAGAGATTTGATTAGAAGAGAGTACAAGATGGTCTAGGGACCCCTAGAGGTAGTCAGTCCGTAGTTCAGGGGTGTACTGAAGGCTCAAGAAGGCCAGGAGTATAAGATTTAATCATTCAACAAACTGAACTCAAACCAACACCAAATCCATGACCCTGAAGTGGATTCTGACTCATAGCCCAATAATAGGGTTTCTGAGACCATAGTTCCTAACAGGAGCAGACAGCCTCTTCTTTCTCTGACCCCCCCCCCCCCCCCAGACTCTGGTGGGTTTGAACCAATGACCTTGACATTAGCAGCCATGTGTCTGATCCACAGGTCCACCAGGACGCCTTAGTCTGACAGGGAGGGATAAACAAGAGCAGATGTCCCGCTCGCCAGAACCTGAAGTAAGGCATCAGCAAACAAGAGCCCGGGTCCAGGGAACTTAGGTCAGGGGCTCTGCCTTGTGTCCCTTCTGTAGGTCTAGTCTGGTGGGAAGTGTTTTCTTCAGCGTGCACTTGTGAGTGAAGGACTGAGAGGGACACTGCCAGAGGGAGGGGTCTGGAGGCTGGCTCGCCTGCTCTTCTTTTAGCTTTAGGAACTGCGGTATTCTCTAGAATGCCTTCCGGGGTGGCAGTTGCCCAGGGTTTCAGCCCCTGTGAACAGAGCTGTCAGGAGCTGGGCACTGGCACCCCTTCAGCCCGCTCTGGTGTCTTCTTGCTGTAGACTTTGGCCCACCCACGCTACCTTACATTCCAGCTCATTCCATAATGCTGTCGGTCACCGTCTTGTCCCTCCGAGGGCTGGAGCATCTGGCAGCCACCCTCGCGGCTCTTTTTTCCACGGTGATTCCTTGGTTCCCGAGGAACCCTGGTCGGTAGGTGAGTGATGCCCAGGGCTGCTCGCCGCAAGGTCAGCGGTTTGAAACCACCCAGCTGCCCTGTGGAAGATGAGGCTTTCTGTAAAGAGTGACAGTCTCAGAAACCCACAGGGGCAGGTCTACCTTGTCCTGCAGGGTGGCTGTGAGTCAGCATTGGCAGTGACTTTGGCTTTTGGTTTGCTATCGTTCCCAGAGCCGGATTTATAGATTATTCTCAGAAAACACCTATGTAAGAAAGAAAGAAAAACGCAAAAGTGGAACACAGTATCCGTTCTGTTAGGGACGGATGTACTGGTCAGGAGAGTGTATGCCTTCTCGGCTGTTGTTGCCATTCGGACTCTAAACGGCCCCAGAGGCTTTCCTAGGTGGTCAATGGGGACCACCCGGTCTTTGCTGCTGCTGGGCTGGAGTGTGACCTGCCCATCTTCGGATGAGCAGCCAAGCGCCTCGCCATTGTGCTCCAAGGCTTCCTTTCCTCTCGCCTAGTCACCCTTAAAAAAACATTGAGCACCCCAAAACGCTTTTGTTTATACGAGTGACATCTCTCCGTTAATTATTGTATCAGGAATTAAAACGAACAAAAAATGATTTCATTTAAAAATAACAGTAGGAAACCTAACTCAGAACACATTTTTTTAATCATGGCGTTGCGGCACAGGAATTGAGAAACTATTTTCCAAAACAAAAATTAGATCAGTGAAGAATTTTGACATTTTTATAAATTCCTTTAGTGTCTTAAGAGAAAAGAACTGTAGTGTCAACTCTGATTGTGTATTTAAACTACCGCAGGATGTTCTTCAGTGACAAGTGTGACGAAAATCCAGCTCTTAATACAGACAATTCAGTGAGGAAGGGGAGGAATATATACTGCATATACTCGTGCATAAGCCAAGTTTTCCAGCACATTTTTTAATGCGGCTTTTGTGGTAAGATGAGGTGCCTCGGCTGATATTCGGGTCAGCGTATACTTGAATGTATATGGTATATAATTACAGTATTGGGAGCTCTTAGAGATAGCTTAACACTCATTAGTTCAAACACACCAAGCAGTATTGTACAATGCGCTACTGCAATCAGATTGCAGGAGGAATATTTTACTAGCGTTTTCCGATCACTGTGACTTTTCCTTGGCACTATACTGAAACTCAGCAAATGATAATTTTTCAATGCTGGCTGCTCTTTGGAATCTGAAGGGCAGAAATGAACTTCTTAATACTTTGTACACTTGCAAAGAGCGTGAACATAGAGAAGGCAAGTATGTTTGACCCTTGGGGAAACCTGTGAAGTCATGAAAGGTGTTATTTCTTTCCATTAGCAGGGGAGAGAGTTGGGTCTGGGAGAGAACCACTCTGTCTGGGGCGAAGTGCTTTGTGGCACGGAGTGAAGCGCCCACATTTGGGCTAGGTTTCGTTTAGGGTGCAGGTGACGGATTCAAGGATGCAGATCCGTGTTCGGATTACAGCGCGGCTTCTGCCTCCTGCTTGGACGGTGCGGGTGAATGCAGTTTAGAATTGCTGTGTTTTCCTTTTGTTTTTAACCTCGCGTGTGATTTTTGTTCTAGACCTATTCCGGACTCTTCTGCGTGGTCATCAATCCGTACAAGAATCTCCCGATTTACTCTGAGAACATCATCGAGATGTACAGAGGGAAGAAGCGGCATGAGATGCCCCCGCACATCTATGCCATCTCCGAGTCTGCCTACAGATGCATGCTTCAAGGTAACTGGGAGCGGCAGGCAGGCATCCGCCGCACCTTTTGACGTCTCAGCCTGTAGAAAAGATGAAAAAGGAAAGCAGTGTGTGTTGATGGTAGAAAACTGGGTTCTTAAATCGCCAACGTAGCCATGTCATATAGGAAGTTCCTAAGTCTTCTGGTTGCGTGATTGCAGTACATGCCAGTAATTACATCACAAAGCATCTAGCTTCTATGTACAGCTGATCCCCAACCACCACGGGCCAGTCGGACCTCGAGGCTGTTGCCTTAGATGCTAAACACCAGGAAGAGCTTTGAGGGTGAAGAACAGAAACCGGTTCTTTGATCAGGGAAGGAACAAAAAAGGTAAAATGTTAATTACAGTCCAATGCTGGCTACAAAAGGAGGCAAGAGAAATCTAAATGCACATGCGGAGGGGGCTATTTTGATGGTTTTCTTTCAGATTAGAATGAAAGAGCAGTTTGAAGTCATGTCTTTAGGTACAGTGGCTTATGGAGGGATTTTTTTTTTTATAACCAGAAGGTTGGGGTTCTGAGCATCTTTTGCATTGCTGCCCACGAGAATCTATTTAAACACAGGCGCTCAAATGTCATGTGGGAACCTGACTTTCTAGAATAACTGCACCCCTCTGCCTTTTTCTTTCTTCATTAAAGTTCTTATATAAATAATCGGTTCATGATCATCTTCAGAAAACAGATAAGACAGGCTGCATCTCCTGGTCATCAAATCTCAGGTCACGAGAAGGTCCTCTTGGGGACTGGACCTGAGGGTATTGTGTATGTAGGAATTAATACACTTATCATACCCATTTCTTACTTCAGTTTGCTTTGAATGCCTGTTACGTACCGAGTCTCCTGACACCAACAGAAAGACTTAAAGATGAGAATGGGGTAGATTTATAGGGACAGTGTCAAAAGTCCAGAGAGCTTAGACTTTTTTGTTTCCCCCTCAAAAAGCTTACATTTCATAACCGTTCCTTAGGTTAAAAGCCAAAGGATATTGAATATTGCTCCAGCCCCTAATAATAAAGTTGGGATGTTGTTAGTGCCGTCCAGTTGGCTCTGGCTCATAGTGACCCTGTGTGCCGTCCTCACCGCTGTTCTTACGTGTGAGCCCGTTGTCGGTCCTTGTCGAAGCCGCTCCTCTTTTCCACTGTCTCTCTACCAACTACGATGTCCTTCTCCAGGAGCTAGCCTCTCCTGACAGCACATCCAAAGCACGTGAGGCGAAGTCTCACCATCCTTGCCTCGAAGGAGCGTTCCGACTGTACTTCTTCTAGGACAGATCTGTTTGTTCTTTTCGCGGTCCGTGGTATTTTAAAAATTCTTTACCACCCCATAATACAAATGTGTCGATTCTTTGGTCTCCCTTGGCCAGTGTCCAACTGTCACAGGCACACGAGGCGATTGAAAACACCATGGCTGGGTCAGGCGCACCCTAGTCCTCAAGCCACAGCCTTGCTTTCTAACACTTGAAAGAGTTCTTGTGCAGCAGCTTTACCCAAGGCCATAAAGTTAAGAATATAAGCGAACCGTAAAACTTCGCGACGTGAAAGTAACCTAGAAACATGAGAGGAAAATAACTATTTCCTTTATTAAGGTGTCACCTGTTTACAGTAAAAGCCATGCTTTCAAGTTTATAATTCTGCAGTCTTGACTGGTCCATGCAGTTACATACATACCGCTGCAGTCAAAATGTAGAACAGTGTCTTCCCTCCAGAATCTCCTCCTGCCCTGAGAAGAGCCCCGCTGGAGGAGTGGTCACCTGCTGGGCTGTGCTGCACATGGTCTGCAGGAGAAAGACTGGGCTTCCCAGCTGTCTTGAAAATGCACGGGGCCACTGGCCAGCCGTGACTTGATGGCAGCGAGTTTGCTGGTTTTCCTGGTCGTAGTCATTAAGGAGCCCTGGTGCCATAGCAGGCTGTGCGTTGAGCTGCTAAACACAAGGTCAGGAGTTCTAGCCCACCGGTTTCTCTCTGGAAGAAAGACTCAACCATTTCACGCCTCAGAACCCAAGGGGCAGGTCTACTCCGCGTCTCCATGAGTCGGAATCAACTCCATGCCAGTGAGTTTGGTTGTAAGCCTATAGCCAGCCCCGTCTCTACTCTTCACCGATGACATCGACTGGTGTTTTTGTCTCATCTTCCAGACACACATATGGGATGAAGTCATACGCAATTCAGCCTCGTGCCTGGCTTCCTTATTCGCGTAATACCTTTGAAATACATCCATCCGTACGCTTTCCTTTTGAACACTGAGTAGTTGCCTATTGCAAGCATATCCCACATGTTATGCATACATTTGAAGGTCATTTTAGATTCTTTTTAGTTTTTTGGCAATTAAGACATCAGAAACTTTTCATCCGTCAGCAATTAATACATTATACACACCCATATGCGGTTATGGAAATGAAGCTCTTTTCCGTTGGGTCAATACCTAGGATTTCCAAGTCATATGGTAAGTGTATGTTTAACTGACCAGACTGACTTTCAAAAACCAGCTGGTTCCTTTTTTACCCTCTCTTTCCTTCCTGTTCTCATTGTTGCCAGCCAGGTGTGAGGGCTCCGGGGCTCTGCAGCCGTGCCAGTGCTTGGTGTCCTTGATTGTCAGTAACTTGTACCCGCTCTTCACTACAAGGTGGTTTTAAAGGCCTTTTGTCCAGTGGCTCATGATCGTAAGCATCTTCTGATGTGATTACTTGCTACCTCCATACCTTCTTTGTTAAAAGGTCCAAATCTTTTGGCCAATTCTCACTTGAATCGTTTAGTTTGGTATTTACGGAGTTTAGGAATTCTTTGGCAGCATGCTACAAATTCTTTGCTGAATAAGTGATTCGCACATTGGTTTTCCTAGCTCGTGATTGAAGCCTGGTAAGTCTCCCTTGAATTGCCTTGCTGCTTTTGTTGAAAATCAACTACATTTTATTTCAGGATTAAAATGTCTACCAGTATATCACACAGTCTGGATTGTACTTGCTTCATAGGAAGTCAGAAGTTTTAGAAGTTAAGTTTGTCCATTTCTACAAAAAAGGGGCTGATTGTCGATCAGTGAGGGCAGAATTGGCAGTAATTTTTGAGTCTTCCCACCCATGAGCTCTTAAGTCATTGACTACTTTCATTAATGGTTTTGGTCTTTTCATCCTAGAGCTCTTATCTTCCGCACATACTTTGTTAGATTGATACCCAAGTATTTTATTTTTTCTGACGTTAACGTTTACAGTTCCAACTTCAACTGCTCATTGTTAATATATAGAAATACTAGGGGGTTTCAAAAAATTCCATGGAAATTCCACTGTCTTCCGCTTTCATTTTTTCCGTGAATCCTTTGAAAGCCCCCTTTTATATTATACATCTGTAAACCTTGTTTTCTGCAACCTTGCTAAACTCAACTCTAGAGGTGTTTTTTGTTGTTTCTTGTTAACATTTTGTGTCTATGATTTTCTATAGACAGGCCCTCTGTGAATAGAGAAATTCCTATTTTCTCCTTTCCAGTCTGCCCCTTTCATGTCTTTCTCTAAGGATGTTGGATGATACTGCATAGCAGGAGCGCCTTGTTCCTGATCAAGTTTTTACTAGTAACTGTGACGTAAACTACAGGTTTTATATACCTGAAAACTAAACCAACCCCCCTGCTGTTGGGTTGATTTCCAAAGCTGTGAAGTTTTATGCGAGTAAGTAGCCTCATTTTCCACCCCAGGAAATGCTGGTAGGTTTGAACTGCTGGCCTTGTGGTTACCACCTCAATGTATAACCCACCATAAAGTCCAGGGCTTCTGAGAGGTTTTTATGTATGTCCTTTATTGAGTTGGTGAAGTTCCCTTTTACCTTTTTCTAAAAAAATTATGAATGGATTTTTTTTCTTTCTGTATCTATTGAGATGATCATGCTATTCTTTTGGGTGCTGGTGTGGTGAATTAGATTGTTTGCTGTTTGGATATTGAACTAGCCATCTATTCCCCAGGCAAATGTCACTTGTTGGTGATGTATTGCCCTATTGCTTCTTTCAATTTGCTAACCTTTTATTAAGAACACTTACATCTCTGTTCACGATGGATATTTGTAGGTAGTTTTCTTGTAATGTCAGGTTAAGGCTTGGGAAATGTTTCCTCCTCTAAAAGTTTCTGCCAGAGTTTTTTAGAATTGGTATTATTTGTTTCTTAAACATTTGATGGAATTCATCTGTGCAATGGAATGAAGTTTTAATTTTATTTTGAAGGTAGGGTTTTAACGACAAATTCAATTTCTCTACTAGATATAGGTCTATTCAGATTATTGTTTCTTTTCAACTGAACGTTGATAAACGTTTCCATAAGAAACTATTCATTTTATTTATGTTGTTATTGTTTGCCGGGAAGTAGTTACTAGTATTATTATTATTATTTTAAGATCTGTGGGAGCTGTAGTGCTTTTCCTGTCCTATTCCAGATAATTGTATTTTATGACCCCCCACCCCTTTTTTTTCTGGTCAGTTTGGCTAAAGGCTTTTTAATTCTCTTTACCGCAAAGAATCAGCATTTGATTTTATCGCGGGCTTTTTTTAAACTTAATTGATTTGTTTTTTAAAATCATTTCTCCTGCTTGTTTTGAGTTTAATTTGCTGTTTCCTGATATCTTACAGTAGAAGTCAAGATCAGGAATTTTAAACATTTCTTATTGTTGAAAATATTTAATTAAGTCTGAGTTTATTGAGTGCTGCTTTATTTTGTGATTTGGGGGCTGTGCTTTGGAAAATACTAAACTTAACTAGTTAGTCTTGACTCTGGCAGTCTAAGTGTTTTTTTGGAAGTAAATGTTTTCTTAGAAAGTACTAAAGGGCCGACGATCCTTGAACTAACTACAAGCTTTTCTTTCTTGGTGTACTTTAATTTGTTCTTTTTCAGTGGTTTGTTGCTGTTGCTGTTTTGTTGTACATTGTTGCTTGGCTTTGCTCTGTCTTGTTTTTGTGCATGTTGGTGTCTCCACAGGTCTGTCTGGATAGGATAGGCTGCATGAACAATTTGGAGGAGAAAACAGTGGGACCAACAGTTCCGGGGGGACATGGGAGAGGGGGAGGTGGGGGGAAGGGAA